TGTAATTACTTACTAGCATCGAGCACGTATCGTGTCCAAACTCAATATTTTACTAAATTGAACATACCAACGAGTCGATTACTATTGAGGAACTCAATGAATCGATTGATATCGATTAAATTTTAACAGCAATTAATACAATAGTCGATTATAAATAAATATCTATAGCGCGTTATTAGTTCCAAAATACTTAAGGTATCGGTTGAAAGGAATTTAACTGGCTGTGTGTTATTTTTGTTAAGTGGCGAGAATTTTTATAACCGCAAGGTTCTTTGGAAGTGTTGTCGATGTCGTCCGGAATGTTGCAGTCCCTTTGAAATTGATGAAAATGTCACCAGTAGAAGCTGTTTACGTCAAATAAAAGTCAAAAATATAAGAACAGGAAGTGTTTTATGGACCCATTGACCTACATATTATTCTGCGCCACCAATGACGATGGCAAACGTATTTGATGAAATGTTCGGACCGAATAAGCAGGCAAACATTGGAGTGGAGAGCTGTACAAGCTGGGTGTCGGCGTTATGAAGGCGCGCGTCCTACTGTCGTGTGCATGTAAATGTAAAACAATTTCATCTACCCGCTTGTGAACGACGGACGGGAGAGCCCGTGAGCCGTTCCGTTTCACACGTCGACATTGTAACTCCACCCGCTCCGTTCCATACTCGAATGCATAACAGACAAACAGGCTAATCCCGGCGTTATCGTAAATTGTCAGTTTATGACGTGCGGAACGGCCGCGGGGCCGGGGGCCGCGGGGCAAGGGGAAGAGTTTTCTAATTTCGCCCCCTGCGCCCGTTTTGATGCGCTAATTCGTGTAAGCAGTTTCTGAACGTGCTTGTTTCGAGTTCACTTCAATTTGCCAACGATGGGTTTGCCAGTGGGCCGCTCTTACGGCCATGTATATAGGGTCGCATCTGCCGGGACTACTCGCGTGCTTTACTTTGCAAGGTTATCGTCGGCTTTTACATAGAGTTGCGCAATTTACATACATTTGTTTGTTCGGTTTTTAAATTGGGGAATTAACTGTGTTAATCGCGATGTTGTTTTGCTAAAGGCGCCCCCTAGCAAGTTTCAAAGTTATGTTAGGTACACGCATAATGTTATTTATTTATCGTATTCCATAACAGACGGACGGACGGTCAGTTAATATTACATTACAACAGAACATATCAAAGCGCGGCGCGCGATGGGATCTCGGGCTGCGCGGGCGCATCAGCAATTAATACTCTTCATTTAATCGATTCCTTCAATTATTCCACCTTGATATATGTTAATCCTTTTCGGTCTCGGCCTCCCCGGGATATTGTTGGCTATAATTACGTGGGAGGCGACCTCTATTGACAAGTATTGATGTTTTTAATCTGATGTTAGGATAAGACGTTAGTATGCGTTCGTCCGTCCGTCCGTCCGTTGATTTGTAGCCGGCCGGCTCATTGCCTCGTAATTATTGGATTTCGGCGCGATATTTATTGGCATTTCTTCTCACAGTCGCCTTGATTTATCATTGGCCTGTCATATGGGAGAGAATTATTGCGATGCGTGCCCGTCCGGGGAGAGCGTTCCATAATCGAAGTGTTTTTTTTTCGTTTATTAACGCTGAATCCCCGAAGGTACACCCAATACGTCATATTTCAATACGTTACGCGTTAGGACACATGATCACCTCCATTAAGGCGCGTCTTCTCCCGACGGATTAGCGCCGTCAGTGCGGCTCGAGTAATGAGATGGCGAAAAATATTGGAAATAACACGCGACAATAATAAACGTATAATAGGGAACGCCACGCAGCTGCGGCCCGCCGACGCTAGGGGCGCTACCGGCGCGCTTCTTATCATTCATCGATGATTAAAAACGAGTTAAATCGATTAATTTATTTTATTCGATTAATTTTATTTGATAAAAGTATTTTTTTAGAGATACTGAAAAAATAATTGTTGATATTTAAGCTTTACAACTTTATAATAATTCTTGGAAACAAGTTTGGTCATAGATTTATTAATAGTGTACAACATCGATAAATGCTTTCTTCTACCGATATTTCTAATAAAACAAGGTGGTGATTAACGACTCAATCTTTGTTATTTATGTTATTAATTTGTAACACGAGCTTACTAACACCTCGTTTGTGAAGTGTTTACAATGGTTCCGTTTTAAAATTTAAATGACTTTAGTCTATATTTACTAAATTGCTTTACAAATCTACTAGGTTCTCTCTTACTTTAGTAATATGTACTTATCTTAGGTAATAGGATCTCTGTTAGATAATAAGTAGTTCTTATCTCCTTACAATTATTTTTATAATAAGCATAAGTGTATGTATGTCTACGTAATAGATGGTTTCTGTATTTATTTTTTAAATTTAACAATTGAATTTCATTTTTATTTATCTTAAAGCATATTTTCCATGTATATTAATTAAAACAAACATACTACCTATATTTCTTCGTTATAAAACTTAGAACTACTCACGCCATCTATTACCGACAATGGGAACTAACTTACAACCATCACGTAAAAAACAAAAAAAAACATTCTATTTCCATACATAGCCGCAAAATAATCCGTATTAAAATGTATAAGAAATAATCACACGTCTTTCAACCGACTTAATTGACTATAAAGTAGCTAGCAGTTTCCCGCGCAAGCAATGGCGTTCGCGCCAAAATGATGGATTAACGTCACACGAGTATTTACTTTTTAAAAACGCAAACAAGAGCTCGCCGGCAAAATTGCATCCAGCTAATATTCCCTTGCCAATCATGTTGCTCAGTCAATTTTCAATTTTCCCGTTAATAAGCACGTCAGCGCCCGTCTCCAACAATATCAGCCCGTTTTTATTGAGCTTGCCTGAGACTTAACGGTGTTAGGTTAGCTACGGCAGAATACAATTTTCATTTATAAAGCGAATTTTGTTTTAGCTAATTGGGTTTAATTAGACGTCTAGGTTTTCTTTTTAGTTAATTGAGGATCAGTCTGATAATCATCGCTGTAAAGTGTAATCGTCAGCGGGGTAAGCTGAGAAATGTAATTGCCTAAGTAATAATAATTATAACTACCGACTTTATTTACGAAGTTCAGCATAATTTCTTATTCCGAGAATTTTTACTTATATTTATTTTATCAATCTTAATCAGCATCGCTATTACGCAATTAATTTATTAAAAGACAATTTAAATCAGTAGTCCAATAGCAAGTTACTAAAATTATTACGTGTCTATTTATTATTAACTACCAATCATATTACTTCGTCTAGTTTTGTCTATGTCAATAACGTATTACGTCATACAAAAATAGTAGGCAACAATGAATCAGCTATTTCGACACATTTGTCAAGTAGCAGAGTGGCGCAGTGGAAGCGTGCTGGGCCCATAACCCAGAGGTCCGTGGATCGAAACCACGCTCTGCTAGAAATATCTTTTTGTATTTTTTTTTCAGATTTAGTTTTTTTATATCTTTTTTAGTTTTTACTTTGTATTTATCAAATTGTTTAATGCATTTTTTTTTATTATTTATCGATTTTTTTGTCATACATGAACTGCTACTACTGGATTTAATTTATTTATTATGTAAGTAATACATTAGGAAGATATTTTTATAAAACTGGTTAGATAACACTTACTTAGTATACCAAATATATTACAGATATAAATAAATTCTATTCTAATAACAACCATGACCACAGATCATAAAATAAAAAAAAACATTTTTTTTTCACAAAAAACTTGATATTGGTTGATTAATCCATAAGAACAGTAAATTCAAACGCAAGAATCTCATAGACGGATCAAGTCCATTAGCGGAGCGTCACGGGAGATTTATGTTTAATTGAAATCGTCGAGTTTATTGTGGTGCCATGATTTATTCCATTTATTCGAAGCGGACAGCCGATAGCAATGCACTTTCAATCGCCATCGCTCACGGCTACGGACTCAATAACAATAGACATTGTTTGATTACGTGTTTAAAAGTTTGTTTGTTTTTGTTCATTATGTTTTAAACGGTCCGTGATCGTGTCGAGTCCATGTCTTCGCGGTGATCAGTCTATTAGTATTGTCGCTCTGTGCTTTTTCGTGTCATTGTTCCATTTTTAAATATTGAATTTTGCACTTTTTTATTTATTTTATCAAAATTTTTGACTTATTCCTAATGCTGACATAAAGTTATTTATAATGTACTAAAAAGTAGGAAGATATAATTATTATTGACGGCCATTTACGACTTCCTAGTTAGGTATTTAATCCTCGCAGCTACCTACTATTTATGTGCAAGAAATATTTATAACCTTACAACATTGGCTTACAATAACTGCTCCGTCAATAAGACTGGTGTATCGCGTGTCGCCGATATTGAGTATTAATTCCCTTCAAAGTGAATGGGAAGCATAATTCATTCGTTTATTTGGCATTTTAATTCATACATCTACGCAGATATTGATGTCGTGTGCGACTGTAATTCAATCTTTGTGTTTCGCAACCAGTCCCTCGATAATCTCATACTAAGAGCAATAATTTATTCACGACCAACGTATACACTCCACGTATCTATATATTGACATCTCTTTATTACTCCTACATGAATAATATTATTATGAATCTTTACACGCGCAAACAGAAAAACACAACCGCCCCTGCCTCGCGAAACACACGCTTAACCCAACACAATAAGATCTAAAGTAAACAAAACCTAACTGTAGGTCATCTCAACAATAAACGGACGCATACATTTCCACAAATCCGTGTCAAGAATCGAAGTGGAGTTTAAAAAAAGGAGTTATCCTACTGACACGAAGCTTTAATAAATAATTCCTTTTCACATGTTATTATTTATTGGACGGCGCGCCAGCCAGCCTCCGACGGGACTATAACGATGACGAATACGAGATACGTTTGTAAAAAACCCTTTTGAGTCTTGACGCGTGATATATTCCTGCGCACGAGTGTTATAAAGAACGCGGCGGGGTGCGCGCGCGCCGAGCGCTGATTGGCCCGCGTAATGACTCCATGCGCGGACGTTCCGTTTTCGAAGTACGACTGTGACGTAGACTAATGACTGCTGTATGGTAAACCAATGACGGATAGGCACCTCTGAACCTATTGTGTATGTGGTATATAGGAGTTAGATATGAGCGCCGCGCCGGCGCGCCGCCGTCGCCGTGTCTTAGCGTCAGCGCGCCGCCGTCGAACGAAACGCGCGGCGCGCCGTCGCGACATGTACAAACCAGTCTACCGCCACTCGACCGACCGAACCGCGTCTGAGCTGCGCTCGCTCAGTCGAGTTTGTCACCGTGGCGAGCGAACGTGTGTTATAGTTAAGTGACGTAAACAATGGCGGCAGTGTCTTCGACTAGTATTGATGTTTATAAAACGAAAATAAAAGACATTTTTATAACACCACTGAAAAATCTTTCTACAAAACATACACATAGTTTTTGCTGGACAGAATTCGGACAATTAGCAGTAGAATTTAATGGAAAACGGAGAGCTGTTTTAAGTGAACAAGTATTTTGTGGAGTTTGCCTACGAAATGCAAAAAATGAAGACGAGAATTGTTTGTTTTCAAAGTAAGTTAGTTTTACTTTTCCTAGATTGAATTTAGTATTCGAAAAACAAGATTAGTAATCCGAAATTCCAGACTTTCAAGCTAACTATTTATTTTATTTACGTATTATCTTTTAAACTAGTGTCAATATAACTAAATTAGTAGTAAATAAAACATTTATGTACTTACAAATGTTAGGAATTGTTAGATGTTTTTACAGATATTGTTTAGAAATGTCAAACCATCACATTAAGCCTTTTCATTTTCTTTAACATTTTATCACATGGTATAGTTCACATTTATTACTTTTCAGGGCCCAAGTGAAAGCTTACTCTAAAGGAATAGCCACAAGTAATCTTCTCAGACATTTGAAAGATGCACATGGTGTAGAAGATACACAAAGGTCGCAGCCTTCGAGCATAACACAGTTTTTTTCTCCGAGGACTCCGACAACCAGTAGCAGTAGTAAGAGGAGCAGCAATAAGTGGTCTTTGTCTCGAGATTTAGCTCTTTGGTTTGCTAGATCTTTGATTCCATTTGACAGTGTGGAAAATGATGCAATGATTGACTTTTTGAAAAAGTACAACATTATTGTTTCCGCCGACGATTTGCCCTCGAGGCACAACATAGCACGAGAAGGACTGGAAGATGTGTATAACAGTATGCTAGCGTATGTAAATAATTTTATTTCGAATCAAAGTCCTCGTTTTGGTGCATTAACCGCTGATATGTGGACCGACCAATATAGGCGGCGTAATTATATCACTTGTACGTTTCATTTTAATTCTGAAGACATGACTCTCATCAAATTTACTCTGGCTACAATAGAAATTACCAAGAAACACACCGGCGAAACAATCCGTGACACAATTTTGGAAGTATTGCGTTCTTTTAAAATAGACCAAAAAAATATTTATTTGGTCACAGATGCAGGTGGCAATATGAAGAGAGCTGCGAATTTATTAGGCTTTGATAACCATCTTTGCCTTGGTCATGCTCTCCATAATCTAGTCAATGTAGATGGTATCGCAAACACAAGGGAAATATCCAAGTTATTAAAAAAATGCAAGAAGATTGTTAAGCATGTCCGTTACAGGGCACCACGTGTTGAAGCCGCTGCATCTGCAGCACAAAATGATCTGCTTTCTTTTATTGAAGAATTCGCGGAACATGTAGAGGATGAAGATAGCGACTCAACCGATTCTGAATCGGAATCAACTGAGATACCTGAAAGAGCTTTAAGTTCCAGAAAACATTTGCAGCCCCCTCCTACTATTAAAACGAGCACAAGCACAAGATGGCACAGCGTCTTGATGATGCTGAAAAGCATTTCTAACAGTGCAAATCGTCAGCCTATAAATACAGTTCTGAATGAAATAGGTCGAGGTAGTCTCGTAATACAAGATATAGACTATGAAAATATTGAGGCCTTAATAAAATTCTTAGAAAATTTTAAAAAAATTGTAGAAATTCTAAGTTCAGAAACTCAGCCAACTATAAATTTGGCTCTGGTATTTCGCTCGGAAATAAAAAGATTGCTGGAAGAAATGGGTGATGATGAGCCTCTTGTAATAAGAAGGCTAAAAAATAATATGTTAGCGGGTTTAGAATCTCGATTTCCTTTGACTGATGTGGTTGTTGCGGCAACCTTACTCGACTGTCGATTCCATGGAATTAATGAGATAGAGGAATTTATGAAAACAAAAGGAACCACTAAAGTTTCATTTCTGGCATCAATGGTCAGAAGTCGATTGATGACAGAAGACATTCCTCAAAATAAAATTACTGATTCTGCCGGGGAAGTCGGGACGAGTTCTTCCGTTAACGCTGCAAACTTTTTACTGGATTTGGCCCGAAAGCACAGCGCTACTCAACAAGATGCCGAAAGTGCTGTTGAAAACGAATGTTGGACTTATTTCGCGACAGCAAGTCCTGAACATTTACAGCCTTACGGTGGAGATGTTCTGCAATACTGGAGGGACAAAAAAACTTGTATGCCATCATTATATGCTCTCGCACGATCAATCTTAAATATACCTGCTACAAGCACACCGAGCGAGAGAGTCTTCTCCACAGCTGGACTAGTAATAACTGCGAAACGTTCTCGACTAAATCCTATCAGAGTGAATAGGATAGTATTCATCCATGATAATTATGTATTTTGCAAAGAGTCTTTAAATAAGTAGTTTTGGTCAGTAAATTATTTTTTTATTTATAATACTGAAACATTTTTGCTATTCATCAAACGTGATCTTTTATTTTTTTAAATAATTATTGGACTTTGATTTTTTTTTCGGCGTATTTACCTAGTTTTTATGTAAAAATGTGATCTATTTTATTTCTGTAAAAATTATTAAATTAAGAACAAGCAATTTTGATTTGTTAATATCGATCTCATTAAAATTATTGATGCTAGTTTTAATCTTTAGAAATGTGACTTATTTTATTTCTGTGCAAAATGATTAAAATTAAAGGACAAGCAATGTCGTTGAGTTAATGTTGATTGATCTCATTAAAATGACTGATGCAAGTTATTTTTTATCATTAAAAAGGTGATTTATGTGATGTAAATAAGCAATGTTATACGAATTATGTCTTCTGTTTCTTTATTAAAGTATAATATAGTTTTCTTTAGTATCAACAATATGGTTTTCTTTTCTTTATTCTTAATACACCCCCCCCCACACCACCCACCATAAAAATGTACACCACGCCGGCGCGCCGCCGCCGCCGTGTAAATTTTTAGACCGCGCCGCCGCCGTGGAATTGGCCATCGGCGCTCATATCTAATAGGAGTTGCGCCGGCGTTGAAATATTACGTCGATTTGCCCGTTCTGCGCACGACGGCTAGCTCAAGACTAATTCTAGGTCATAATTTATAGCAAAAGATTGCAACTTGGGCTGATGATAACTATGTTGCAGAGCCACTGAGTTGCCGCTTGACTTTATTGGAATGAATGCGAGTCGTGTCAATGCCATATAAATAACAAAAAGTCAAATAAATACCTAATAAGTAAGTATTAGCGGCATTAATCAATCGGTACGACAGGTAACATTTTGCTAAATCAATTTAACGGTCAATACGCTGTGAACCTGCAAAAAATTTGGTGCCAATAAACGTATAAAAGACGATTACTAAATTTATCTTTGTTTGCATATTCAGAATTGCAATCTTGTAATCCGATTCTCTTATTCTCATCATCATCAGCCCATTTCCATCCACTCATCCGACCACTATCAGATACCTTCAAATTTCAAACCCTCACTCCGCTCAGCTAGTAACCACCGGACATTACGTTGGGAACTCCAAAACAGACACCCCAATATTCATTGCTTCTCCAAGAAACGTGACTGGTCCACCTTGCTAATCTATCTCCTATTTTGCGATTAAGTAAATACCAAATCACCTTATCTGCACAAGATGATGTAATGAATGTAGTAGACAAAGTCTGGACACGTAAAACACATGTTGGATGCAGTTACCTAAGACAGAGGCCATTTTATTTGAATACCTAGTGGACACTATCCGGATAATGACGACGAAATTTAACTTATAGACAAAACTTTAAAACAACAAACAACTCAGATCAATCATCGATCTTGCGAAGCTCACCTCAGTCCAGTTAAAAACACGTGTGTCATGTTAGATGGGTTCTAATGAATCTATCAAGCCCAGGGGAGGCATACATTGTCCGGTTTGGCGACGTGTGGCCAACTTACCTACAAGATTGATTAGTTCGGAAATTTGCTTGTATTCTAATTGATTAAGTGTACAACTTGATCCCCGAGTGATTTTATATTTTACTTTATAGATAGAGTTTTGAAATTATAATTAATCTGTCCCTTGATTTGAAATTTCTAATAATAGGTCTTTACCTATGAAATTGCCGTTCTGCATTACTGGCCATTTCAAATCAAAATGGGCTTCATCTAGTTTTTCACATATAATTTGACGTGTAAAAGTGCCGTTTTATGGCCTATTTGCAAAAATAAATTCATTGTTTCATTGTTTCAAAATAGTTTTTGTTAGGCTAATTAATTTTGTTACATTTTCATCACATTTAAAATCAAAAAAATCCACCACGATACCAATCCTTATTAACATCCATCTGTACAAACTTAGACCTTTTATTATCTATGGACTCACGTAATCATAAAAAAATACTTCAAAAGCTCAAAATATATCTTAATCTTCACTATCTGACGATAAATATTTGGGCATCCACCCTTAGACATTGTTGCAAATTTTTGTTTTAGACTTACGCCATGTTTTTCCAATTAAAATTTATCAATTACCTACCATTTGTGTGAATAAAGATCCCATCTTAAAAATTGTTCTTAATTCTGAACTATTGTAGACAAATGTGCAGAAGTGCAATGTCTAGCCAGCTCGTGTACTTACTGTAGGCATGTCTCCATACATCTGCATGTCGGAACATTACTCAAGGAGCTAGCAACAAGTGCTTTGACCCAGTTGAGGAACATCTTGACACAGATACTTAACACTCACCTTCCTTATTATCCTGTAACTACTCTCTTCATTACATGTGCTAAATGTTATGTAAAATATATAAATGAATTTGTAGATCGTGTACATCATCAGCGCCCTGTGTGTCACCAATTTACTATACATCATTAGCCTATGGTGCCAACTGCAGAGCTAAGGCCTCTTTATACATGTTGAAGGTACGACGACATACTTGCTTAAGGCGGATTGACGATTTCAAATGTATAATTTAAAAAAATTTACGTCCAGGTCTCCTCAGGTCCAGGTGTCTAAATAATCTTAGAAAGTAGGTAGATATGTTAAACAAGGTAAAATCAATTTGGAACTAACAAGGTTCCGAACCTGTCCCCACGTCTTCTAGCAGCATCACAACATTTCACCATACCGTATCGTCGTCAATTGAATCATCGTCTGAATGGAATAGGCAATATCTTAGCAAAAACAATTTGAAACTTCATAAGTACCACATTCACAACCATCCCTCTAATCGCAAAAACCGCTCATCTTTATTTCAAGACTGTCCATAAAAGATAACTCAAAACCGATGCAAATATTCCGCCGCAATGATAAATATATGACAACTACTTTTAGATACATTATAACGGCGTCATAACAACTATGTACCTGCCCACCTTGACCCACTTACCGCCGACCTCGGTCCCAATGTGGTCCCACTGCACTAGTGTTCCGAATTGAGACGGGCCCAAACCCGGTAACACCATGGTAAGACGCACTTTTGTGGGTTTACGTTGGCCATTATTATGCCTAAGTGCAAGCATGGCGATGGCGTAAAAAAAAAAAATATTTTTTGCAAATGAGGGATTCATTTGTTTTTTATCATCCAGTGAAGTTTTTGGAAATGGAAGTTCTAGTTTAGGACGTACAGAGGTTTTGGTATTTAGTTTTATAAATACCACTAAATATCTTCTTGCCGACTAGTAACCATAAATTTTTAGTACAAAGGAATAAGGATTAATATGTTGCAAATATTTTTTTTTCTAAACCAAAGTTGTTACAAGTTTGATAGTATTATGAATTATAAACCACTGGCGTTTATATACCACCATTTTAAATAACCATAAGTACACAGACTGAACCATTGTCATTTGACTGGGAACCTGGCCGCCAGTTCAACGTGTCGCCTGTTCGGTTCCCATACAGAGACAACTCTTCTTGTGATTCACAGATTGTTGTTTATTTGTAAAATAGTTTGTTTGTAAATGCACCAACGATACACGAAAAAATCCAAGCGTAGGGCGACGTTAAAAAAATTTTGTCATCAAAATCTACAGGTAATCAAGTATTAAGTTTTCTAATATAGTCCTACACCTACGTTATACACATTACAGAATACAAGTGGACTCTATCCACTGATCGTCTGATCTCCACTTACATGAACAGCTTGACCCTTAAGAGGTGCTTGGATACACGAACGCCACTGAATTGGACACTCAACTACAGCAGTCTGTCTACTTTACTATGTGTTCCTTCGTTATCTGCATGAAATCGTCAGTTTTAATTATAAGAGAACCCGTAGATTAAGTTGTCATTCCTTTGACATCATGACTTAATCTTCCGAACTTAGTATTTAAGAAAAAAATTAAAGAATTTCCATAAAGGTTATATGGTGTATGAATCTCTCACTGGTGGGCTCGGCCAGCCGTACCAAGGTACTTGCATACAAAATATATTTTAATACAAAATCCTATCAGCCTACTTTACTTTTACAATCCCATATGTTTAATAGCAACAACCGCCCATGCTTAGCCGCATTAATCTGCACACGTCTTTCCACCGCGGAAACAGAAATTATAATAAGCAATTATCAGCGAACCTTCAATACAAGGTGCACTTGCAAGCGTACGTATTTTTTTCCAAGTACCCACATAAATCAAAGGGCCCGCCCCCCTCTAATGGGAATTATAATTGATTCCCTCCCAAGCTAGGTAGTTTTTGTGATCGTAATGCAGGATTTAAATTTGTTTGTCGGTGTATCTTTGAACAAATATTGTAGTACAATCTATGTGAGCTAATTAAATCGCTTTGTTGTTTGATTAATTGGATGTGAATGTAATTTCGTAGGACTTAAATGGGCAGGCATGTAAGAACTTAAACATCATTTTTGTTACTGACTCAAGCTAAAAAAATATGTCTAAGTAAGAAAGTAAGTAACTGAAGTATCGCTAGATCACTACTTGCCTTGCAAAATGTATTGGAGTGAGCATAAAGTGATGTCGTGGTGGCCCGGAGGTTAAGGAGCCCGCTTCTCATGCATGAGGGTGTGGGTTCGAAAACCGGCAAGTACCAATGTGACTTTTCCGAGTTATATGTACTTTCTATGATTATTTAGACACCACTGAAATACGGTGAAGGTAAACATCGTGAGGAAAAGTGGACTTATAATTTCTAATTATAAGTTTGAAATCGCCAACCTGCATTGAGCAAGCGCAGTGATTAATGCTCAAACCTTCTCCGTGTGAGAAGAGGCCTTTGCTCAGCAGTGGGCACTTATAAGCTGATGATGAGCATAAAGTAAGTTACAAAGTATCAGTTACTTAAGCCCCTAGTCATGTATCCTCTGAATTTTTAGGCAGTTTGATGATGTTTATCAACTATGCCTGTTTTGAATAACGAATATGTAAACACTCAAGTATTGGTCACTTCGTGAGGAAACTAAACTACAATATAATTGAAAACTCTTTTTGGGACACAAGCATACTACCTACCCAATGACGATATAACAACTCTTTGGTTATATACTCTTTGTACCTGTATCATATATAGGATTAGGACAAAAATAAATGAAGCGTATCAAAAGATTTTGGTAAAATGTAAAAAATCGTCAAAAATTACTCCATCACCTACTTCATTATATTATCGAAATGAAAGAAAATAACTTTTACCCTTTACACTGTGTAACAAACGCAGACAAAGATCAAAACTGTTTGGTTTTGCATCCCACTGGTGTCAGACGGTCAGTAACCCGTCCCCTAACCAAGGACTCATAGAAGTTGTCTCTAATAATGAATCCAAATTAAAATGGCCCACAAATTTTCACTGGACAATACAATAGCCAAGTTGCATAACATGCATAACATGGTCTGCACTCACCTGATGCAGATTTGTCTCTAACATCATTTCAAATTTCAAATCGTAAAAAAGCAATAAAATTTGCGCGCGATCCCAATCCTTGTCAATCAAATGACAGAGCTGTCATAATGAGATCTATATTCAAAATAATAAGCCTACCATGACGTGACGTCACAATTAGTTCCAAATTCAAAAGGTGTTGAAAAACCGTATCGTTTGTATTGCACGTGTAAGGTGGCTGCGGGGTGCAGCGGGTATCGGGGCGCGGGAGGCGGGGGCGCACCTCGATCGATGGCGACGTCGTTATTCGGGCGACAGCCTTTGACGACGTCGCGGATGTGTTCCGCTTGCGACCGCCTTTAATTTCTTCATTTGTATGCTGATTTGTGATTGAGGGAATTAGGTTGTTGGGATATTTGAGGTAGAGACCTGCCATGGATTATGATGGGCTGCCATTATTTTCGCGTGTACCTTCGCTATGTTCTTCAGGAGTGCCTAACATCAAAATTCAAATGAAATGCAGATAGGAATTCCAGTACGAAAAATAAGTAGGGTTCCCGGAGATTGGTCACAGATTACTGAAAGCTTAGTTTTATCTCTCCCAATGTAAATAAAACATTTGCTGCTAGGTATCTACTACTATTAATAAAATGACATGAGCTAGCGAGATTTTTTCATGTACTCTGAAACGCCATTGATCACTACCGAAAACCGTTACAGTACACATTCTTTGTAATGTACCACACCGCACCCTGAAAGAGTCCCAAGTAGAACCTACCCGAGCTAGGTCCACGCCTCCGCGGACGCGTGACTGACGGACGTCCGCACACTATCACAGTGCACACACACACTTACACAGGACACTCTATGCACACGACGTTTTGACACTTGACAGATGTGTGCCCAGAGTGATGGGTGGCGCGCGCCGCGAAAAATACGAGGGAAACTTTAAATATGGAATGCCGAGAGAGTTTTATTTATGCTCCTACTTGTGATTGGCGGTGCCAATTGATTCTTGGGTCAGGGAAAAGTTATTGATTGAATTACTTTTTGATGTCAATCTTTTTGGCAACATTGGTATTTTGTTTTCACAATGTTTCATAAATTGCCACAATGTTTCATAAATTGTTACAATGTTGCCCTTTTCTCAATTTTTATATCTAACATAGAACTTCAAATTATCTGTCAAATTACATATAAACCAAAGTACAACTCGTCCATTGCCTTAACAATACTCCCGGTTACTAGTTAGTCACATCTCCCAAATAGTCGCAGTTGACTAGAGGATCGTTTGCACTCACTGCCATGATTGTGTCGTCCACATGCGGCGAGCCAGTTATCTGTCACTGGTTAAGTACTGGCCCACTGTCCTGTCGCACTGTGGTCATCTTTTGTAACTGACTCCGCTCTGCCTGTCTGTCACGTTTTAGTTGCAAAACTTGCAAATGTTTGTCCGTGTGACAACTAACAGTGGCTTTTAGGATATTTTTGCGGTTATTTGAATCTATTAAGTGTTTGATTTGGATATTTGGTCACTGATTCGAGGTCCTTTCGCGTTTGTATTATGGATTGTTTATTCAAATAAAATTACTGGAATGCCTAAAGGTTAAATGAGTGAAGTGAATGAACAAATGGCTTGGGAGGTTCTCACCGAATGTATCGACAATCACCACCGAACAATCACAATCAATCACATCGTCCACGTCACCGAACTCAGAATAAGAACATTAAGTTATTTCCATTTTCCACGGCCTTTCCAATCACACTCTGGTCTGACTATTTTAAAACCCAACAAATCAATAAACGAATCCGTTCGGTAGCGACTCCAATAATTAAAAAGTTCCCCGAACAGCGGTGTAATGACTGCTGTGACGTTAACGACATAGCTGACAGCGAAGCCATTTGTCAGCCGTCACGTGTCAGCTGTTTGTCAACCACAATGGTGTCAGGCGGCGCGGGGCCGATTGACGCGTGTCACTCATACCCTCAACCACCAATTGTCGAATGCAACTCGAGTCTGGAAAAACATCTTACTGGCTTTGACAGCTCGGTTCACACTCGTGTGGTAAAAATTAAAATGTTGGATAAAACGGTGAGATTTAAAACTAAAACGCAATGAAAAGTGTGGGAGGGCCATGCTTCGACACGAATAGGTCAACTCGACAGGAGTGATACCACGGCCTAAGAGAAATCCAGCGTAAAAAAACCAAAGCGTTGTGTTTCGCACACGCACTCGTAACTCCTCGTTTTTTGCGGGTGTTGGAGGAGATTGGTTACGCTGATTGCTTACCATCAGATAATCCGTCTGCCATCAATCACTTTCTTACTTCTTAAGGAGTAAGGCAAAGATGCATGTAGTTCGAGCTGTGATATTTGTTAAGTAATAAAAAATATCTACGCTCACCTGTATTTAAGACGTAGCTTGACCATGTCTCCGTGGCTTATTTTCCAAAGCTGAATATTTTGACGTTGTAAGGAAAATACGAAGAAATGGAGGTCTCATTCCATATTGAAATGCACAATACTTGGTCTTCAGTTTAATAGCATTACACAGGTTGACCTACAAACGAAAATGAACAGCATAAACAACCAGTAGTTTTCCTAAATCTTCATGTAGAAAAATTAATACTTTTACATTTTTGAGAAAAATCCGTATGTGAACCGCCAAACATTTAAAATAGCTGTGAATGTCTAGGGGCCCCGTAGCAAAGCAATAAAATCGAGTTATTTTGAGAAACAGTGGTAAATCATTGTCGTATGTGATAGGACAGGTGCGGTGGAATAATTAATGATAGCTTGATTCACACCTCCACTGTCCCCGACGCGACGCCCCGTCGACAACCGACTGAAAAATACTTTTCATTACCGTATTTTCAGCCTTGTTACACCTTTATATGGCTCGCAAACTTATATTAAGTATAGGTGATTTATAAAACTTTCAATAATTCTTTTGTATTTTAGTTTTCATTGAATCTTATGTTTTGTTCTGTAATTTTAATAGAATTAATCTTTTTGTTAGGTATACCAAACTTTTCGTGCAGTGTCTTATTTTTTGATGTCATTGCGGTGTGTTCATTTGGATAGGTTTAAGAGGAGACCGCAATTCTATCTACAAAGCAGAAGCACACACAGTAACAGTTCGATCAGACAAAGTAAAACAATTGACACACATTTTTTGCAACATTCCAATAGCAACTTCGATCATGCGCAATCAAATAATTTATTGGCTCGAGCAAAAACAATGGAAATATTTCCATAACTCAATCGGCTGGTGGTATGCGGCGTAAACTTAGCTACTTATTACTGCCTTCGTTGCATACATTATAGATCTGAACAAGTATTAACGGTTAATTCGCATCGGAAGTTTATTTATTGGTTAGCAGTGACGCCTGACGTCATTGTTAATGTCTCTGCACCACGCGATTAGCTCCGACGTCGCCACAACACTTTAAACTAGGTTGCGAATCTTCCAATTATTAGTTTCTTGCTATATTTTGTATACTTCCCTTTTGTTTTGTTTGTAACAAATTGAATTGTTGTTCAGGGGTAATATAAAGGTGTTCTGCGATTCACCTTCACCTGTGTGTTATTTCTAGTTTTACGCATTATCAACGGATGAGGTTGGATGCGATTGCCCACGTAAATTGTCAGACATTTTCCGAACCACCAGTCGCCTTTTTATAAATTTCGGTCAATCTTATTCAATGCAATATCAATTTTACAGATGTTATCGCCAAGAGAGGACGATGACGATGACAGTCACCTTTGCATCAAATGCAACACCACCATCGTTGGCTTGGATAACTACGTGAAGCACAGGAAGCAACGATGTGGAAAACTAAAACCTGAAGACCCCAAACCAGAACTACCAGCTATTGACACACTGGAACCTTCTTACAGCCTTGGAGCAGATGTGTTCTTTCAGTCTCTAGAGTTACAAAGCTCTGTAAAGAAGACTTCTTTATCTAGACTAACACCACCTATACCTATCTCTAAAGCTAGTATCGACCGAAAAACTTCTCTGGCTGTGCCATCTACATCTAGGGATATTCCTCGCATGAGTCCATTAGAAAATAACCTCAGAGGCGAAGATTGGATTGGAGGACACAGCTTAAGAATTGGAAGTAATGAAGACAACCAAACAAAATTAATTAACGCAGTCGCTAGTATCAGCGGCGCAAGTCAAGTCAAGAAAGACATACCAACTTCGTCTTATAGTATAAATTATGATTATAAAGCCGATGAAGAAAGTGATGAATCTGAAGAGTCTGAAGATGATGAAGAAGAAGACCATCCCACTGGAGCTAAATGGAAACCGCCTCCGAATTACACAGGAGGAAAATGGCGACCAGCTTCACCCGACCATGAAGACTGGGATATGAGAGAAGAGCAAGAACACACTGGAGGTAAATGGAAACCAATAATGCCTGACAATAATGAGCGCGATGAAGATTATGATGCCCCTCCTCCTGGGCATACAAAAGGCAAGTGGATTCCTGGTGCTAACGAAAAGACTCAAATAATGCAAACCACAATACAAAATAAAGGATCAGTACAATATTGGTGCGGTCCTTGTAACAGAAGACTTAATTCCAGAGCAATTTATGACAAGCACCTTCGATCCAGTTTGCATTTGAAGAAAGTTCTTCCAGAACATGAATTGGAATTCTCTGGCCACCTAGAGCCAATGAAACCTGTGATGGACAAGCGATTGACACGTCCATCTAGGTTTATTAACGACGATATTTATTCGCAAATGGAGAAAAAACGACACGGTAAGGCAGAAACTAAGATTAACATTAAAATTCAAAAGAAGAAAAGGAAGAGAAAGATTACTTTTGTGCATTGTTCTGGATGCAAATCACGTGTGAGACAACATTTGATGGGAAAGCATTTGATATCACACTACCACTTTAGAAAAGCCACTGACACCAATACGGTTACGTACCAACAACTCATCTTGGATAATATGGATGCAATAGTCCATCAATCCCCCTTCCAGTGTAGTCCGTGCAAGTTCTATACAAACTGGCTTTCAACGTTCATGCAGCATTGGTTTTCTGAAGAACATGAACAAAAACTAGCTTCAATTGAAGGGAGACTCTGGTGCTCTTTTTGCAAATTTGATTGCGAATCATCCCAAGAAATGCTGCAACATTTGTCTAGCTCAGACCATAGCGAAGTGGTCGCTGTTATTAATAGATCTATGCCCATCATAATAAGAAAAAAGACGCTGTTCAAATGTGACGCTTGTTCCAAAGAATTCAGATACAATATCGAAATGAAACGTCACTGTCAGAAAACCGGCCATCCACTGGCGATTACGGCCACTGACAACTATCAGGAACTGCACAAATGTCAGCACTGTAAAGCTAAATTCAAATCTTCTCTTACTCTTGCCGCTCATTTGAAATCTAAACACGAACAGAGAGCTTACCTTTGCTTGGTCTGTGATATGAACTTTAAATCTTCTGATGAGGCGAAGCGTCATCGCCAAACTTCAGAACATCGCATAAAAAGAAAGGAAAACCTGAGAGAACAAGGATTACCAACGAAAGACATGACCAAGAAATGCCCTTATTGTACTGATAATGTAATCCTGAGAAATATTTTAGTTTTGAAAGAACACATTCGTCGTGTGCACCCTAATATAAGAAAAAAGTAAGTATTCATATTTTTATTTCAATTATAATTATAAATATCGATGTTTGCTACATTTTTTACTGTTTCTTTACAGGTGCCCTAAGTGTGGTATGTCTTTTATCCTCTCTCAGGAAGTCACTCGCCACGTCAGAGACAACGCGTGTCAGTTGTCGCAGACTGCACAAATCACATCATCCATCTTCTGGAACTGTAGCCAGTGCCTCTTCACCACTGACTCCCAAGCTGAGTGTTTTTTCCACGAAATGCTTCACACAACACCAAAGAAAGAAGTTCTCAAAGTTGGGGACACGGAGAAAGTTCTCCTAAAGTACCCCTGCCCTCTTTGTCCCAAGACCTTCAGAAAGGCCTCGTTACGCCAACATTTGAGGCAGCACACTTTTGAAAGGCCCTTCATCTGCTCGACTTGTGGAGCCAACTTTACCAGGCAGACCAGCCTTGCGAACCACTTTAGAAATGAACACAGTACTGAAGTAGCTAAGATCCCAAAGCTGTCAGCTATAGTGGAAAGGATTGAAGATTTTGAGTGTGGAAAGTGTAAGAGCAGATTCTCCAGCAAGTGAGTATTCATTTTGTAAGCTGCGTTTATGTATTTGACTTATTATTGTATGCGTAACAAGTAACTCAAACATATTTCTATATTGTCATTATACGTTCAATTAGTTTTTCGTACAACAGCACAAGTATGCATAAAAATATCCACATTATATACATACTTTACTGAGCTGCTGTTATGAAACTTAGAACGATTTTATTTTGGTTATAATATTACACCGAACGACGATAATCACACGACACTTCATGAAGCAAGTAGGAGTTCAATGAATGTTTGAATCGATAACCGATCACATTTATTAAGACGGAAGCGCAAACAAAACGCATACAACCGAAATAACCGACGCATCATCAGCGTGTTGTCGCGTCGGCATCAATTTGCAGTAATAACATGCGCGCACGCAGCGGATGCGTTACATGTCACACGTCACACAACTCCTTCACAAATATCGGGATACATTCATAATTTGACAAGAGCGCTTTGATTATGCTCGTGCGCACCGCATTCCCGCCCGCGGTGTTGCCAACGATGACATTTTTATACCCTGTGGTAATAAATTTCTGCCCGGATGCACGGTATTTTGAGAGAGTGCTGGATCAAAATATTAGTGTCGGAGAGAGATAGTGGACGTTTGAATTTTATTGTTAGCACGTGTCTCTGTAACGTATTGGGGATTTGCATTTTGATCTGTCGCTCAGTTTGATGGCGCTAAATCGTGTGTGGTTTATTTGCTTTGACACTTGCGCTGCGAGCGTTACGATTTATATGTCTAACTTCACTCTATAAATAGTTGGGATCAGTCACGAAGGATTGACGACGCCGATTTTAAACTGAATGCGGTTCGTTAAAATTAACGACTGTTTGTTCTCTACGTTTAATGTTTTAGCGCAAATACTTTCATAATGGCTATTACAAAGATAAACCTTTGTGCCCGCCGTATCTGCATTTGAACACGAACAATGGTGTCGTGTCTAGAACGAGCAATTTTGTAAACAGAAGCTAAGCAAACCAGACATCAGAATATCTAATCGCTTCGTATTTTATAACATAATTAAGTTCAAATACAGTCGTGGATCCAAACGCCAATATAAATTGAAATTTCCAATCCTCGTTCCTCCATTAATGCTAAAATCACAGCAGTAAGGCGTTGGAACTTAACCGCAGACCGCATGAATCAAGTCGGCGCGTCATTAAGGGAACTTTCAACGGATCTAGACAATTGTAGGACATAGCAGAGCCATTGGGGGCGTCTAACAGCGCTGATGATCTAACTTGTGTAATATCTTACGCGTTATTGCGACGCCTTGCATTAATGCACTGCCGCTGTAATGCGACCGAGCGAGTTAACTGTCGCCGCGGTGGGCCAGTGTTGCCAGATTATGCACGCGAAATTATTACTGTAATGCTTATTAGTTTCGAAAGAGTTTTTAGTGGGAATGGTTTCTGGTGGTTTCGGTTTAAATTGCCTTCCTGCGTCTAGGTGGATAGTAGCTCGGTACCTGCTTATTCAGTGGGTAGTATTACTTTACTTGTTTTATTTCGGCTAAGTAATCTTCCTACATTTCGAAATAATAACCCATAACTTTGGTTATGTTTGAAACCACTTTAGGAAAATCACCATCAATATACTTAGCTCCAACATATTAACATGTAGATTTACTTTTCTACAATCCTCGCCCGGCAGCCAAGCGCTGGTCATCCGTAACACTTCACTGTACAGGAAACCACAGAGAAAATGAACGAAGCGATATGAATATATCACTAAGCCTACTTACTTACTTTATGAGTTGCTGACAAATTGTCAGTGTTGTTGGTGCGTGCGCCCTTAAACGCGATCCATTACCGCTATAGTTAGCTTGGCTCCGAGTGATTCATTAGCGGCTCGGAGTGAAGCAGCACGCGACTCCACTGTGACCGACGCTATATTTCACTATTTCACGTAAATTATTTCTTTACACGCTTTGCCCGTGACTTTATCCAGGAAAACAGTATTCGCAGAAAAATGTCAGGACTAAGAATGCCCAAGATTTTACAAATATTTTAGGACTTCTTGAATCACAGACTACTTATTCGAATCAAAAATATATTTTTCGTAGTCGAGCTGTTGTGTACAGGAATCGAAACCGCTTCTTGATGCGCTTTACCTTCACACGCTTAATGAATTAGGTAATGTAGGGAAGTAAGTAATACAAACATACGAAATCTTTATAAAATAAAAGATGTGATGTTCTATACATACCCGACAATAGTGACATTCAGATATGAGATTAAATGAGGTCTGTGGCATTTATAAAAAAAAACAGCCGATTTATGACGCATCGTGGAAACAAAATGTGGTAAAAGGATTAAATATCTTCAAACTTAACATTGGATTTTCACAGCCTCGGAAGATAAAGTTAGACATTCGTTAGTTCAGAGAATAAACATGTGTTAAGACTAAGGCGTCCCATTCCCATCACATTCTTGTCCCGGGCCCTGGCTAACTGCTAGCAGGCTGCATTCTACCGTCTCGTCTTGAGACTATACTGTCTAATTAGTTAGTGCTTACTGGACATTTGTTTAACTTAACTAGGCATCCAAGTTAAATAATATTTATTGAACAACTTCGCCAGTTTCTCAGTTTTAGCTGCACCTCTTCCTTTGAAGGAAAGAAAGAAACATAGCCACTGTCCAGCCGGCTTCTTCACTGACCTGAAGGCAGATCAAAAATAAGTACCTAATAAATGGAAATTTTCAGTTTCATTAATCTTATAAGTGAAGACTGAAATGATGGCTATAGTGCTCGGTGACAGAAGTTATCATTAGATAACTATCTTTAAAAAAAAACCTATTTTAGGTACATACAGCGATCACAGTATAAAGTATAACTTATGTATCCATACACAAGTATAGCATATTATTATATATTGAATCCTTTTTTTCATGGTAGGTATAGGTCGACAAACGAGCAGATGGATTTCCTGAGGGTAAGCAATCTTTGCCGCCACAATTTTTTTGTCACAATTCAAATTGGTTGCCAACCTTATAAGGATTCGAGATTGTAGGTGTTTTGCGATAAAGTACGTTTGATTTCAGATCAGCATTATCCCGTCACACAAGTAGCTGTGCCAGTGGGCCTACGGCACGTCACTGTCCCCATGACCAGTGTACATATGTGGCCACGAATTCCAGTCAACTGGCTAGGTAAGCAGTAATTTAAAGTAAAGTTAATTCGTTATTAATTTAAACAACTTTAAATAACAGATAAATATTTTAATAAAAATGTAAAATTGTATACAACGCCATCTTTGTTGAATATGATAAACTACAATAAAGTTCAATCAACTCATGAGCAATGTTTTCTGTCTGTTCTGTGTACTGTAGTTTACTATAAAGTAAAATAGATGGCGTTAAATTCTAAAAGTAATTTAAAGATAGTTGCTAATTTTATTGGCCGAAACTGTTTTAGTTATAAAACATCAATCATAAATTATGATTTGCTATTATTTTGCATGAAAAAAATGTATTGTAATTTATTTTATTAGTACTTCTACTCGACAAAAGATGGCGTTGCAATCGGAAATTATGGTTTCAGACATCGCAGATCACATGGAGAGCGTATTAAACACCATGAATGCCACCTTTGTACATTCAAAAGTGATCAAGCAAGTCATATGAAAAGGCATATGCTGTGCCATCAAGGAGTTAAACCGTATGCCTGTCCTCATTGCTCTTTTACATGTGGAAGCTTGGTAAGCCAATCTAATATCTATTCTTGACAACTTAATTTTAACATTTCCTGTCATTTCATGAAGTTTTTAATTGCAAATTATTTGTTACAGGAAAATCTTCGCAAACATGTCCTCCGAAGCGGTCGTCACCAAGGGTTATTTCTTTACCATTGCCGATTGTGCCCCTACAATACAAATACAGCGACTGAACTACGTGCGCATTTAACTACAGCTCACTCTAACAAATACAATGCCAAAAGTGCTATTGAGGCTGTTAAAATGCATTTAATCGTTGAGGATACGAATCAATAAGTTGCTCATTATCTATTTGATTTAAACTTTTATAAACTGAACCTAACTGTGGCTATTTTAAAGTCAATAAACGATTTCAAGAAATTATAAGTTCCATTTTTTATGTATTCCAGCCAAGGTTGCAGGGTAGGTGCAAGAAGGCACTGCCAGCTGGGCCTAGAGCAGGAAAAGGAACGGGGTGTTTTTAGTCAGTAAAAGTCTGACACCCTCTCCCACCCCACTCTGGGCGGGAGAAAACATTTAATGTTTTTTTAGCCTCACACTGTGCAAAAAACCAAACCAAACCAAAAACAAAACTTTGGGAAAGCAAGGTACATAATCTAGGGAACCTTGCTAAATAAACCGTTAAGCCCTGCTGCTGTAATAAATTTAAGTTTTATATGAACTGAAAATGACAATAACAAATTCAAGCAAATATATAAGTATTTTTTAATTTATAAAAACATTATCTTTTCGATGCGATGTTTAATTTTATCTGTAGCAATGTCTCTTTGACGTATCGTGCGCTGGAACGCGCCAGCAGTTACTGTCAAAACGCGCGCAACTCGACGAGCGAGGGAAAAATCGCAGAGTCGAAAATACGACGATATCTTGTTGACGTACGCCCGCTTGTACGCTGTACAGTATCGACAAAAATAATACCGCTTTCAGCTGTGAACCGCGACAATATTTATACAAACAATTGTAAATGAAACATACATTATTTTTATCCCTTACGTAATGAGCGTTAAAGTATGATAACTAAAATGTGTTCAGTTTTATCATAATAATAAAAACAGTGTTGTGTGTAAATTGTAATATTTCGAATTATGACTGTTTGAAGACACGTGTAGTGCTGTAATCGATTTGCATCTATAATGTCGCTGAAGGTGAGTGCTGAATTTAAGTATTGATTGTATTTTATTTTAGAGAATCCTGGCCAGTGTGTTCTATATATATAATTTTTGCGTGGGTAGACTGGATAGCTCACCCCTTTTCTCAAGCTGTTATCAAAGGTCGCTCTCGCTCTTTGCAAATACATTTTATATCGCTAATTAAATGTAAGTTATATTATCTGCCAAAATTAAAATAAACAAAACAAACTGCGTTATGCGGAAAATCCTTGAATTTAATATCAATGTTCTGTTTTGGTATAATTAATTTATAAATAGGTAAAATTATTATAAATCTGGTTGTGATTAATATTAGAATTTTTAAAAATAATAAGAACCTGCTTGCAATAGGAGTCAAGCTAGATAATTCAACCTAGATTTAATTATAACAAAGTGAAGACCTAGTTAATTTTCCAGAACTAAATTTTTTATGAACATAAACAGACAGACAGACTGAAATTTAAATTAGAACAATTTACATTCAATTACCAATCAATTGTGTTAGCAGTTCTGAGTCAAGTACCTACATACATGCATGCAGAATAAGGCATCTGGTCATTCAACCAGAAAAAAATAGCTATTGCACACACTTCAAATAATTAAACAAAACAGTAAAAGAAAGTTATTTTATTACCTACATTAAAAAAAAACAACCAAAATTAGGTAGGTAGGTGCATTCCATATTTAAAATTTTGTTTTATTCTTTATTTCCTTTTAGATACCATAAGGCATTCATTCCATATTTAAAATACTGTTTTATTTTTTTATCATATCAAAGACAACAAAAATAATATCAGCATGACTTGCTTATGTTTCGTTTGGTCAAGGACATAACATAGAAATGGTTATATAACATTGTCAAGGACACCGCCATGGTTTGACTATTTGGTCCCCATGCTTTATTTTGATTTATGTTTGACACTAAAAAATGCCAATTTGCACAGCCCTTGTTTTATTTAACATATTGAACATTAGAACTGGATAATATTTTAGCCTGTATTCTATTTTTTGAAGCACCTAATGTTAGGAGTTTACACTGAATGGTTACCAACTCTATTAAGTACACCATCATTGAAAGATCATCTAATGAGTATACTTTAATTTTTATCATCCCCAGCTGATGAACCCCTAGCAATGATCTTCTGAACTATACCTACATATTATTATATTTTTTAACAATAATGGCACCTTCACTATTCTTCTACATATCTCTATCATTATCTTCCACATATTTTCAGTTCAAATTTTGGGATAAAAATTGCAGGTCCTACTTATTTTTACTAGGTGCATTTTTAAAGCACCTTATTTTTATTATAGTTTGTCACATCACCTGATGGCAACAGTGGTAAACAATCGGCACTGCCCGTCGACACCCGCATCACCAGATCAGTTACGTGTGCGTTGTCGGCCTTTTGAGATAATTCAGTTTCGGAGGTTTAGGGATTGAGGAAAGATAGTGGGAATTGAAGGATTTGGTGTCCGGACCTGACACGGCGAATCACGACGCTGTGGTTGTTTCACGCCGATTTTCTGTGAGGCCGTAGTGTATCATTCCGGTCGAGCCAACCCCAGAAGAAGTTTCAATAAAACTAACATCCTTTTAAGTACGAAATAGCTTGAAATACATAATAATGACCATTACCACTATTACATGGTAACACAGCGTCATCTAACCGTCATTACTAAACAAAAATATTTACTGCGAAATACTTAAATAAAGCATTCTTTAAACAATACGACCGTTTATTGGCACGGACATAGTAACTTAATGTAATAAACCGGTTGAGACATGGCTGGCGTGATGGCAAATGTTAACGATATACTATTTCGACAAACTGCAGATGCACCTTTGTACAAAAAGGTGAAATAATACACATAAACTATGCTATCTATCTACCTATTCTTGGTACCTAAAGGTAAATAAGAACCTAAAAGTTTTTAATAGTTCTAAGTTCTAACCGTCGCGGTGTGACGATTAACTAATGGCGGACGAAAGACTTCGATCAGGAGTGGACTCATGATGACTTTAACCAAACTTAAATTGATATATACATATAGGTTGTCGTCCCGGACTTCTGATTCGTTGGCCTTCTCAGAGCAAATATTAAGAACAGCTGACTGACTTTGTTTTATCCCTTGATTAGGCAAAAGATGTTTTTCCATTTCGAAATTATGTTCGATACCAATATCAATCACTAACTAATTACCAAGAAAAACAAATACAGCTCATAACTTCTACTTACTTAATGTGTAACTAATAATAAAAAAGTGGCACTTCTGATCAATTAAAAGCCATTTAGTTTCCTCGTATCTTTAGTATGACAAACGCCAGACCAACGCTATATCCAATTAATACAGTATGCATTGAAACCGGTCACCAGTTGCAGAAGATAGTCCATATTTAGCGCGCCACCGCCGCCGGCAAGGCTCAGGAACCAGTTGAACCAGTCACAGTGTCACTGAACCAAGGGTGGTCGAGATTCGCTATATCATGCCGATGACGTAAAATCCAGATAGTCTCTGAAGAATCCTTTGCTATGTGGTTTTTGTACCCAAATCTGGAAACGAAGGAGGCAATTTACATTTTAGACATGAGTGAATTCATTTTATACGAAGTAGTTTTAAAATTTGAGTATTAAACATTTTCTTCTAATTTAAAAAGCTACATATAGTATTGAAACAAATGTTGTTTGTCCACAAATATGTTGTAACTTATTCCACAACACGTACGCTCCACAAAACTAAGAGTCCTTTTTTATATGTTTCACATAAGAATTTATGTGTTCCACATAAGAAACAAACATAAAACAGCAGTGAAACGTATTATGATAATTTTAACGTCCATAACATGTCCATTTTACATTCGAGAAACATCATTAAGTATCATTATCATGTGGTGTAATACTACAGTGCAACATGGAATAAATTACATAATGGCTACTTTTAGGTACATGTAAATTCTAGACTTATTTACCTAACAAAGTATAAGCAAATAAAACATATTATGGTGAATGAAAATACAAGAGTCTATACAAATTGGATTTTTTTTTCCAAAATGAGCAAAATTCTCAAGTAAACCGAAAATTCAATCAAAATTTTCTTTGTTATCTCCGTGGCAATAAATAAAGCACATTGACAATTCAAAAGTTTTATCGTACCACGAACTTGTTGATAAGGTCGTCGGAATTCAGACCGGGCCTTGTTCTGGAAATAAAAATAAATAACCCATCAGTTTCCCGGCGGTTGTAAAAGATGAAGAAAGTGGGACACATTTGCTGGTCTGCAACGAAGCCACATATCACTTTACACTGCGACCTTTAATGGGAACTGGACGAGCATCGCAACTACACGTTTATAATCGCAACCAGACATCCTTTATTGTACTCTGGAATAACCACCTTTTAAAGCCCCACACACAACTTTTACAAGTTAAATTATCAATTACATAAATAGTTCATAATTTGACCTATTTCTGACCTTTTTATTTCTTTTTGAACTTTGATCGTAGACTCTTTCCTCCACATAATATTTATTTTTTAGAAAAATATATTTATTAGGTTTCTTTAAACTCTATAAATATTAAGTGTTTCATTCAATCTGCACGATCTTCGTCCAACGACTATTTTCTCTTGATTTTGAAATATGCACCTATAACATCCATTTACTGTGACAGTTACCGTCTGAACTAAATATAATCTGTTTAAATATTCACCCGCTGCTCTGCATCCCAGTCTGTCTGGATTTAGGTCTAGACGTTATAAATAAAGGGTGCTTTGACTTACTGGATTTCACTTTATGATAAGTACAGAATTTGCTGAGATTTAATATTATTAAGCGATAGTGAAACGGCAACTTTTCATTCAATATTTAAAAAATATTGTAAAGAAGAATGATAGCTATTGAAAACGCGAGAATTCTGAGAAATGGAATAATTTTTAACGTGCCACATTAACAAATCAAACACGAATTCTAAGATTCAACATATAAATTGAATTGTCAAATAAGATTCATTATCACTACCATGATAACAAATCAATAGAAGAAGCTGTGACGTCACATTTAGCCATTTGCATAAGTTATAGCCCATTAAAGCTATAGGCAATTACAAATGTTACGACCCCTATATAATAGCTGTAATAAATACGTAATCTTAGTTATTCGCTTTGCAAATTAAACCGTGACATTTTATGGTTTAAATCTATGACCCAGTAGTATTGTTTGCAGTTTACGGCGACAAGTTTAATTTAAACGGAGTTTTTCCATTTCCGCAGTAAGTGGTAGCATTTCGAATTATTTATTTATATAGGTCCGTTTTAAGAGATCCACTTTTTATATCATTTCATAAATATTCAGCCGAGGCTTGCTGGTGCAAGCCCGGACGGTAAAAGAATTTTGATGATTGTCAGCCCACAAAAAAAATTGACAATATTAATTATTTTTGTTCGCATAACCAAGATCCTTTTTTGGCTTTCTAGTTATTATCCAACGTATTCACACCTTCGTTGATACTTAAAACTACTTCTATTGGAAGACTACAAACGAAATCAACTTAAAGGCTCAGGCAGTGTTAAGCCGCTAATCTCATTTTCCGCTGCTTTTCCGTTTTTATGACGACAGCAAAACGCAGTCCTTGATCTAGAAAAGAAACTAGAATTCAAGAGGCTTACTGACGACTTCTGAAAATTGAAGAAGTAGCAGTGTTGATTTAGAATCAGAAATGAATAAGATCGAATCGAACAAGTGCATCGGAGCGATCATCGGATACAATGCGGTTCCTAACGGAGATTACCAGCACATAGAGTTATGTGGTCTTGTTCATAGACCGTAACCCGACTAGACGGCTCCTACTGCTTTTTATGGAGCGTAAATAACTTATGTGTTTTTGAACTTATCGTGAAGCAAGTAGGACAAGTTTACCTTCCCGTACATTAATGTCCTTTTCTCCAGACTAAGTCAACCGAAACTGTCTAACTTTTCGGTAAATAACTTTTATATGC